TCTGGAGGTTTTACTTGTTTCCTGTGTTAGGGATTGCCTTTGTGTGGCATCGTTGCAGAAAAGGGTTTCCCAAGGTTGTTGATTGGCTGGAGGTCTAGTAGCGTCCAGAGTGATGTCTCGGGGAGATCAACCGTTGAGCGTTGGCTAATGAATGGATGCGGAGTCCTTTACTCTGGCTGAAGTTTTGAGGCGGAAACAGACAACGTCTGAGACACAGCTTTGCAGCAAAACTTAACTTAGAACACGAAACTCTCAACGGAAAGAAAATTAATTAAAGCGAAAGAAAGAAAAGGAAAGAAGAGTGTGACGAGACTAGATGGCTTCTCTCCTCATTATGGTAGAGGAGCAGCAGGTGTGCAGGCCAAAGCATGATGAAAGAGTGCTCGAAGAACACAAACCAAAAAGGCAGTGGCAGAAGCAGTGGCAAAAAGCCCAAAAGGCAAAAAGCTAAATCTGTTGGTGTCCTGAGTTTTTAAACTCGGCCGCTGGACACATCCCAAATGGTGTATTGACTAATTAGACGTTGTCTTAGCTCGGGGTGTTGCTATGTTTCTCCTCCCAATACATTAATCAACATGCTATCTTGTTAGTCACATGGTCACCTTTACATAAAACAATAATATAGTGCTCCAATCCGTTCTTTAAATAATGTCATAAAAACATTTTGTTTAACACTTATGCAAGCGAATCGTGCCCACAGCTAAAGCAAAACAATGCTTTACAACATCAGAAAGATCAGGCCCTTTCTAACGGAGCATGCTGCACAACTTCTTGTCCAGGCCCTTGTCATCTCTAGGCTGGACTACTGCAATGCTCTTCTGGCTGGACTCCCATCAAGCACAATCAAACCTCTACAAATGAGTCAGAATGCAGCAGCACGACTGGTCTTCAACGAGCCCAAAAGAGCCCATGTTACACCTCTCTTTATCTCCTTGCACTGGCTACCGGTTGCGGCTCGAATCAAGTTCAAGACACTGATGCTTGCATATAGAACAGCCACAGGCTCAGCACCCGCCTACTTCCACTCACTACTACGAATTTACATCCCCTTCAGAAGTCTGAGATCCGCTAGTGAGCGACGCCTCGTGGTACCATCACAGAGAGGCTCAAAATCACTTTCCAGAACATTCTCGTTCCCCACTCCTGGCTGGTGGAACGATCTTCCCACCCTTATCCGGAATACTGAATCCCTGACAATTTTCAAGCGACAGCTGAAAACTCATCTCTTTCGAAGCTACTTGACTTCATCATAAAAAATAAAAAAAATAAAAAAAAGTATCTCTCTTTATTTATTCCTTCTCTTTCTAGCTTGTACTTATTTGAACAATGTCTAAGAACTTGGTATTACAACCACTTCTTGTGTCTGTTTGCCTCTTTAAGAAGAATCGCTTTATGTATCCCCCAATTGTAAGTCGCTTTGGATAAAAGCGTCTGCTAAATGACTAAATGTAAATGTAAAATAATGGTGGATATGTTGTTAACTGATGAAACAATACAGTTTGTAAACCAAAATATGTCTACTGTAATGTCTGCAGAACGACAGACAAAAGAGACTCTGTGTCTGTTTTAATTTTAGGATGCAGTCAAATACGAAAGAGATGAGTTTTCAGCTGTCGCTTGAAGCAGTCTATGTGCTGTTCTGTGAATGTGAGGACGTGTTCTGTGAGGAACAAAAGGTCTCTGGTCTCTGTCAGGTTTCTGTTCTGGGACTCTTATTTTGGTGTGCTATTCATCCTTTTGTATCTTGTCCTTTATCTCCTTGGTTCCTAAGTACGTTCTCATTTGTTTCCATAGTTACTGATTAGTTTGTACCCTGTGTCTAGTTTAGAGCCCCTCCACATGGATACGCATTTAACTGTATACGGAATAATTTTGTATCTTATTAGCATTTCGTCCAGACGGATCCGGCATTTTGGGAGCCTGAAACCGCAATTTTTTTTAAACCAGTCCCAGAGTGGATAAATCTCAAAATGACAACCTTGCGTTTTTATGTGTACAGCCAATCCGTATATTTTGTGAAACGATAATATCATCAGCCCACGTCTCGACCCTAGTCAAACACCGCTACTACATGTAACAGCAACAACAATGGCGGACTACATGCTTGTGTTCGTGCTGCAGAAGCTACTGAGCTTATTAACTTTAGTAAAGAAAAATAGAAAAATACTCAAGCAAAAATGTTTGTATAAAGCGCGCAAGGTTTAAGTGCATGCTCCAAGTCTTCTCCATTTTTTGTGTATCTCTGTGGCAGGATTACAGTGCCACATACTGGTCTGGTATTTATACTACATAGTTTTGAGTCCGTTTCAGTGGTTTTGTGTGTGCGCAAATATTTCTTGAGACGACGCCGTGTTTGCAGAATTTTTTTTTTACAACGAGGAAAAAAAAAGATGGGATAGGTAAATAAGGAATAAAAATATACAAATTGACAATTGTATGTACAGGTATATAACAATAGACAGTTGTATGTACATGTATATTATGTGCAAATTGAAATGTAGACAAAGTATGTGTGTTAGATAAATAAGTGTATGAGTGAATAAATAGTGTGTGTTCCACAGTTATTGTTAAGTGTTCATGAGATGGATTGCCTGAGGGAAGAAACTGTTCCTGTGTCTGGTCGTTCTGGTGCTCAGAGCTCTGTAGCGTCGACCAGATGGCAACAGTTCAAAGAGGGAGTGTGCTGGATGTGAGGGTGTTCAGAGTGATTCTGCCAGCCCTTTTGCTCACTCTGGATGAGTACAGATCTTGGAGAGAAGGGAGGGTTGTACCAATAATTCGCTCAGTAGTCCGGACTACCCTCTGTAGTCTTCTGAGGTCAGATTTGGTTGCTAAGCTGAACCAGACATTTATAGAAGTGCAGAGGACAGATTCAATGATGGCGGAGTAGAACTGTTTCAGCAGCTCCTGTGGCAGGTTGAACTTCCTCAGCTGGCGAAGGAAGTACAACCTCTGCTGGGCCTTTTTCACAATGGAGTCTATGTGAATGTACCACTTCAGGTCCTGGGAGATGGTTGTGCCCAGGAACCTGAATGACTCCACTGCAGTCACAGTGCTGTCCATGATGGTGAGTGGGGGGAGTGCAGGGGGGTTTCTCCTGAAGTCGACGGTCATCTCCACTGTTTTGAGTGTGTTAAGCTCCAGGTTGTTGAGACTGCACCAGACAGCTAGCTCTTTAACCTCGTGACTGTAAGCAGACTCGTCACCGTCCTGAATGAGGCCGATGAGTGTGGTGTCGTCTGCAAACTTCAGGAGCTTGACAAAGGGGTCTTTAGATGTGCAGTCGTTGGTGTACAGAGAGAAGAGAGTCCCTGGTCTGTCTAGATGTTGCAGAATATAACGCAGTCCCATATTGACTGCATCGTCCACTTGCTCTGTAGGCAAACTGTAAAGGATCCAGTAAGGGTCCAGTAATGTCCTTCAGGTGGGCCAGTACCTTCCTTTTCTGCTTATGAAAGACCTGGCACACCTCTTCTTCGCTGATCTGAATTGCAGGTGTGGGGGAGAGGAGGGTTGCAGGAGGTGTTAATGGATGTGTGGAGAGGTGTTCAGGGTGGGTGTGGGGTGTTTTTTCAAACCAGGAATACACGTCTTCACAGAAACTGATATACGATGTTACAGTCTCTGTGAGCTCATCCAGATCGGTGGCTGCAGCTTCAAAAACACTCCAATCAGTGAGGTCAAAACAAGCTTGTAAATCCTGCTCTGTTTCATTAGTCCATCTTTTTACAGTCCTTAATACAGGTTTAGCTGATTTCAGTTTCTGACTGTAGGTCGGTATAAGATGAACCAAACATCAGAGAGCCCCAAAGCTGCCCGTGGAACAGAGTGATGTGCTGTCTGTATTTTGGCAGTTCACGGGAGAGATTGGCTTTATTAAAGTCCCCGAGAATGATTAAAACAGAGTCCGGGTGTTGTTGTTCTGTGTCTGTGATCTGATCAGCGAGTTTCTGTAAAGCTGAGCTCACGTGCGCTTGCGGAGGAATGTAAATACTGACGAGTATGAATACGCAAAACTCCCGCGGTGAGTAGAAAGGCTTACAGTTAATGAAGAGCACTTCTAGATCTGAACAGCACATCTTCTTTAACACAGTTACATCGGTAAACCACCTCTCATTGATGTAAAAGCATGTCCCGCCACCGTGCGATTTCCCTGTTGATTCTGATGCTCTAAACAGCTGAAAGCCCGGCAGACTCAACGCGCTGTCCAGAATGGCATCTTTCAGCCAGGTTTCCGTGAAACACAGAGCAGCAGAGTGTGAGAAATCTTTGTTTATCCAGGAGAGCAGAAGGAGTTCATCCGTTTTGTTGGGTAGAGGGCGGAGGTTCGCCAGATGGATGCTAGGCAACGGCGTTCTGAATCCGCGCTGCCTGAGCTTCATGAGGGCGCCGGCTCTCTTCCTCCGTCTGCGCATCCTGAAGCGCTTGATCAGTGCAGCTGCTCCGCCAACTACTATGTCCAGCAAAACATCAGAATAGTTGAAAACCAGTGAAATATCGGGTGATGTGTACTCCTGAATATCCAGCAATTCGTCTCTGGTGATTGCAGGGATATAACTAAAGACAGGACAAACTAACAAAAACATAAAAACAAATGCGGAGCATGCCACGGAGGCAGCCATCATCGTCGGCGCCATCTTGGAATTTAAACTCCTTGTTTTTTTCAGGTCATGGTGCATGTTTGTTAGCTGTTTAGTTGTGTTTTTATTTTTCTTCGTCTTTTGGACCATTTTGGACAATCTTCTTTGTTAATTTAAATAAATACAAACTTACTGCAACTGGATCCACTCTTCCTTCCTCCGTGCATTGCTTTAACAGGTGTTTAATGAAGAATTGAATTACTGAAACATACATTTAAAATCTAAAGGAAGGCCATTTACATTTGTTCTCAGTATAGTTGTTTGTTTTGTTCTCCACACAGGGTATGTGGGTGTAATCTCACTGCTCAGTCCTGTGGAAGTTTGTCTTCAGCTCTACAATCCTCACACTCTGTCCTGAGAGAGCTGGACCTGAGTAACAATGACCTGCAGGATTCAGGAGTGAAGCTGCTCTCTCATGGACTGAAGATTCCAAACTGTCAACTGCACACATTGAGGTAAATGCTTTCAATAAAATAAATATGCGAAATGTGTTTATCAAACAGTAAAGCTTGTGATGTAATTTTATATAATTACAGTGTGGCACTATGTTAATTTACATTCAAACAGCTCATGATCCAGTGTTTTCAATATCTTTCTGGATTTGAAAATGCAACATGCATCAAACATCTGCCCTTTTATTTGATTGGCTATCCTAATCGCCAGTTGACCTTGATATGTACTGTTAGACAGCTGAGGCAGACCAACTTTAAAAAAGGAACATTTTAAATGTTTTTGTCATCCAAACAAATAGCTAATAGGTGCGTAATGGAGTGCAGCAGAGCAGCATGAAGATATAAAATATTAACATCAAATCAGTATCCAGAAATTACAAAGTTATTGAAACTCTAGTGTTAAGGGCGCCTGACTCACCATCACTTAGCTGAGAGTGCTCTGTGTTTCTCTTTCACATGCAAAGAGAGAGCAAGATTCTCTTACATACCACATAGAATTGACATGCTACATGTAAACGATATACATTGTTGCATTATCTTGTCAGAATTAGAGTTCATTTGGTATTATTCAGCCTTTAAGAACAAACAGAAATTGGTTTCTTCAGTAATAATATTGTAATACTATTATTAAAAATATTACACAAACGGCAATTTCACTCTCGCCTATTAGTCCCTGTTTTACTTGATTAATACACACACACACATATATATATATATATATACACATACATACTGAACATACATACATATATACATATATATATATTTATACATATATTCAACCATTCTTTCTGGTCCTTGAATCTGATTGGCTGATAAGACTACAATATTCAAGTGATATTGGAACTCCAACCGTTTCACTGTTTGTATCACTCTGCTTGCGGTGTCTCTCACACCGAGTTTATTTTAAGTAACTTCAGTGCTGTATATCAGAGCGCTGCCTTTGTACTTTTGACTAAATTGCCTAGCAACTTTTATGATGGCTGTGGTTTATTAAATATTTTTATTTAATAAATAACATTTTATATAAATAATAGTAGTATTTAATAATAGTATTTAGTATTGGGAAACTGTTCGTGATGGTGATTTTGGTTACATTATTCCTCCATTAGATGGCGACAAGAGACTGTTTTTCTGAGTGAGTCACCAGTAAAGACTTTTATATTGAAACACTGTGAAATGCTGTTGTAAACAAGGAAGTTATTTTTACTTTCAACAACACCTTGTAAGACGCAGCCAACAAATGCGCTATATAGCGCTGTCATCGGACATCACCCTTAACAGATGAAAGGACAGTACGACAAAGATATCATCAGTAGACTTTCAAACTAATGTTTTATTGTGAATATGAGATTGAGCTGAAGAATTAATGCTGTATCAGATGCAGGTAATCACACTCGCTCAGTCCATCTCTCTCTCATAATATTCCACATAATACAACAGCTTTTAATACAGTAATACAATAAGCTTTTATTGAAGCAACTCAACGTTCCTTCGTTACTAGTTCTAAAGTGACGTTTTTTCATTAATATCGAAGCTCAGCTGTTAAACTGTGAAACTGGGATTTGAATCTGTGGCAGAAGAAAGTAGTTCTGTACAAAAGAGGGTTTTTAAAGACACTCCGCTGTTGTTCCTTATGTATTTACACACTCGTGCCATCGAACTGTGGTGTAAATGCAATATCACACTCGTAGACATGAGATATGGCTGTATCTCGGAACGCTGTGATTACCTACAGCCGTGCCGATATACAGCCATATCACACTGCTACTCGTGTGATTGCTCATATATAGTTATATATATATATTTGCTTATTCAACTATAATACAATTTTGTGAATTGACAAAAAGTCAGATGTAAGCCAGTAGAAAATGATGTAAAATAGATGAAAACAGAAAGTGATTTTTCCGGTAACACCAGTGACACAGCTCCACAGGACTGCCATTTCCATCATATACAGTGGGGCAAAAAAGTATTTAGTCAGCCACCAATTGTGCAAGTTCTCCCACTTAAAAAGATGAGAGAGGCTTGTAATTTTCATCATAGGTATACCTCAACTATGAGAGACAAAATGAGAAAAAAAAATCTTAAATTTTTAAGAATTAATTGGTAAATTCCTCATGTGTACATGGCACTTCAGATTTTTTTTTCATATACATTTATATTTAGCTCAAAGTATGGCCCTGAAACTTAAGACATGACCATATAGGAATAATTAATGGCTGAAATGATTATAAATGTGTGTAAGAGATGTCTGATTGTCACGTGGACTATTGCTGTGTCTGTAGGTTGTCTGGATGTATGGTGACAGAAGAAGGCTGTGGTTATGTGTCTTCAGCTCTGAGTTCAAACCCCTCACACCTGAGAGAACTGGATCTGAGCTACAATCACCCCAGAGATTCAGGAGTCAAGCTGCTCTCTGAAAAACTGGAGGATCCAAAGTGCTCACTGGACAAACTCAAGTATGTCCAGCAGGAAGATTTTAGAAGATTTTTAGATTTGACTCATTATTCTAAATTGTAATAATATTTCACATTACTGTTTTTTTTCTTTATTTTTAATCAAATGAATGCTTCCTTAATGAGTATAAAAACTTTTAAAACCTTAATGATCTCAAACTTTGGGGCAATCCATCCAAAATGCAAGAGAGAGAGAAAAAAACAAATTAGATAACACAATACAATTTAAGAATTTTGTCATTTAATGAGACATGTATTACATTTCCATTTACATGTTAGCCTTTTGTGAAAATGACTAGCCGAACTCATCTGTGTAGATTTGACACATTTTTCTGAATGACTAGAGAATAATCCATGGGTCATAACATTCGTTTCCAAATGCAGAAATAAAAGTGGAGTTTAGCTTTACGGTGTCCAAAACGGATGCTTTATATTTAAAATAAGCTACAAAATACGTGGAAGACTTAATATAGGAAGAGCAGCGAAAGTAAGATGTTAATAATTTATTAGTGTGCTTCAGTTCATAATTAAGAAACGACTTCGTAGACATTACAGCAAAAATGTATTCTTATTATATTAATAATTTGATGTGGGGTTAAAACATCAACAGTGCTATTGTTAAAAGTCAGTTCAGCTGTATTCCCCATCAAAAAGAGCCCGTTTGGAGAGAAATAAAACACACAGAATTTATTTAAATGCAAATCTGGAAAAAACGCTCTGATTGGTTGAACTCCTCATCTTTTTCTGTTGCTTGTTTACTGTGCGTGGACAGGTCACCGGGTTTTTGCGTAGTTTAGAGTGACAAATCTTACCAGCGTACTTTAAGGTCAAAATGCGTACCCGCTACTCAAAATGCGTACAGGTTGGCAGGTCTGCAAAATTAACATATGACAAAAAATTGGGCATAAGGTCGTTTCAATGCAAAACTTGGAATTTATCAATATAGACGTGAGTGGTGGCTACGATCAGATCTCACGTCTGGTCTGAAGTCAAGTTTTTGTTTTTGCAAGTTTTTGAGTTACCTGAACTTGTGCACAGCATATAAATCTGGTGGAGAATTGTAGAATGACAGCATTTTGTTGTTGCCCAGACGGTCGAACGAAGCTCATTAGTCGATCACTGACCAGTAAGATTAGAATGTCTTTTGTTTTTTTGTTTTATTCGGGGCTTTAGCTCTATATGCGCGAATAGCAGCGTAAACAACAGACCACGAGGATTCAATCGTCGCATCATGCACCTGCAGCATTTCTGTTAAAGGAGAAAAGCAGAAATTAAGTCTATAAAATAAATAGGACCACACAAAATATATAATAGGCTATAAAATAATTAACAGATTAACAAAGGGGGAAAAAATTGTTCAATAAATATAGGCTATGCTCGTTTTTGGGACACTCTTAATGCATTTTATTATTTTTCTTCGTATCTTTATTTGATTTAATCCATCTCATCGCACAGGTGCCTCACGCACACACAAACAACATTAGTTGTTGCCTGACATTTCAGCCATTCATCATCAAACTAAAATGCAGTCAACCAAACATAAAAGTTGCACTGTTTATTTGAAAAAGTCCGCTGTAAAATCACTATGCAGCACCCAAACAAACATTTTTGCGCATGTGAAGGATTTTACATGGATATTAGAACATGAGTGTAGCGAATCAGCTCAAAGGGGGAAAATGAATAATTAATTATAAATATTTAGATTCGCTGTAAGTATTTACTTGACATCTCAGGGTCAACTGTCTGTCAATTCTAAGAACATTAATTTCCTGGTTAAGTTACTGGTTACTCAGAGCATGTAGCAAAAATCTGCATGATTAGGGACTCCAGTTATGAGCAAAAAATTAACAACCTCAAGTGTGATACAAGTAAGACTTTATTAACTACATAAACACTTAAACTAGTCTAACATACTACATAAACACACACACACACGCATACCATTGGCATAGGAAAAAGGGTTAAAGCTTAAGCAGTAAAGAGAAGAGAAATAAAGACATGAAGCTATGGTACAATTTAATATTTAGCAGATCTACAGCCTGAAGGAAACATCAGTTTCTTAGTTCAAACACACCTTTGTAAAAAAGGTGCAAATGATACTTAATGTATCGATTACTAAGTCTAAGTTTGATACTTGCACTTCTTGTCTGTCTGAAAGAGAGTCCTGATGCAATCTGAAGGCTCAAGTTTATCTTTGCTGAAGTTGGTTGATGAAAAAGAACCAGTTTGAGTCAGAGGATCTTGAAGTGGAAAGACTAGGCCGAAGCCTGGCACAAGCTTAGGTTGGGTTCTTGAGGACTCTTAGCTCTGCATCTTGCCCTGGAGTTTCTGCATCTGAAAACTTCTCCGTTTAATTACAAATCAGTGTTGCCAGATTGGAAATGACCAAGTATCATACTAGAAGCTCAAAATTATCCATTATATTATATTTGGAAGAAAATTATCGTACACAAGTCAAACGTACAGAATACAGCTATTTATCTAAACCAACAACTTTTTGACACGACCTGCAAATTACCACGATAGATAACTAGGCGTGCCGTGTTTACTTTGGACACGAGCAGTGCAACAAAATACTGTAGAACCCATTATAATCAGTGACTGTTTGCACTGGATGCGACACGACACGACACATCCCCGACAGTAAACTGATGCCTCATTCTATTTATGACGTATTAAAATGATTTTTAACACTCACTTTGTCGCGTCCAGTGTAGACAGACTTTAGCTGTTAACTCCACATCTGAGCCGCTGTCATCGGAAGCCTGTGTGTTGCCAGATGTTGAGGGGGTTCTTGCCGTCATGGACCGCAACATGGTGCTCGTTGGCTTTAAAGCAGGGCACCCTCCTGCATTCTTAACACACTCTGAGGTGTACATAAGCTCATTTAGAGCGTCTGTAATGAGCCGATTTCATGTATGAATATAGAAGCCCTATGACTACAACTACCATCATTTGAATTGTAATAAAATTATGAAATTATCATACATTATGGGATTTTTTTCATTATTGATCGTACAGAGGTCAAAATTATCGTACAAATGCGACAATTATCGTACATCTGGCAACACTGTTTGGGTAAAATGCAGCGCTTGTCACTGTCACTTTTTACCCAGCCGTCCAATCAATGGAGGAGGGGCGGGACAAATACTACACCAACCAATCATCCTACTTGTACTACAACTGAACAACAATAGAGAAGTTAATATAGCTGGCTACTGCATTTTTATATTCAAAATGAGAAACTAGTAATACGTTACTGCTGTGGATATTTCAAATCATAGCAACCCAAGCGTCTCTCAGGCTCAGCTAGAAAAACGCTGTGCCACTAAAGCGTTCTCCAGCACCACCAGTTGGCTGTTTTAAGAAGAGCGCCTGACAGTTTTTCAACGGGGATTATGCTAATTGTGAATGAGCATGCACGAGCGCTCTATTTACGAATGATTGGAATTCATTAACATACACATGCTTAACTATCAAATCTGATGTTTACGAAGTGTTGGTGAATTCGGAGGAGAGTTTTTGGGAAGGTCCGTTTTACACGCAAATTACTCTGAATCTACTCCTATATTTACGAATGTTTCATGAATGAGGCCCAATGAATTTGATTTGGCAACAGGAGCTTCCAGTGCAGAAGAAAGTACAGACATACAGTTCAGTGCAAACATACATGATAGTGCAGACATACAGTACATAAGAATTACACAGCAGATGAGATAACTCTAATATAAGAAAACGTCTCAGGTTATGAACCGAGGTTTTAAACCACTCAAAAAGGGCACAAAGTCTTTGCACGTAGCTCTTACCATACAGGATTTTAGAAAAGTGGACAAAGCATAACGTGCACACACTTGAATACCGTTCTAGGGGTTCTCGAGGTACCCTGAAAGAGCAGCCCATAGATAAAAATAGCGTATCCCCAGACACTATATCTACGGCTATAATGCTGGAGTGGCTAGCAGTAAATCTGTAGCTGGGGGAGCAACATCCAGCTCTCAATGGAGAGGGAGCTCAACCTACAGCATGTTCCCATGGTGGAACAGCTAGCAGTTATTCAGCTGAGGGAGCAACACACTCAGTTCTCAATCCGAGA